CTTTCATCATTTATGCCAGCCGATTTGCGCGGAGTCCGCTTTAAATAAAACGCACAGGGATAGGGTAGCAATATTCAATACTTATATAGACGAACCTGTCTAGGATGAGCTCGTATATCATGATATCCTGTTGTGCTTGATATAATTTGAATCCACCGACCTGGTAGATTTGCTTTTGCAAAGTTCCTTGATAATACTAACTTGAACCTTGATTCAGTTTGATGATAAAATAAAAACAGCTAACAACGGTCAAAACGAAGGTTTCACCTACTGGTAGCAAGAATCCGTAGTACGTATCGACATAAAATGACGTGCTTGCCCATTTTAAGCTGCTTTCATCGGAAATCAGCTTCCGAAAGGGTCACAGTAGAGACCTGGTGTGTCGTCAGATATTCAAATATTTCTAGATGTGGAATATTTCGTTCGGATCATACTAAATCTCAGAAATGCGCACCACACCAACCGCCTTAGCATGATCAACTTGCTATATTTGATCAATAGTTGTTCCACAACCCGTATTAGCTAAGGGGGGGGGGGGGGGGGGTAATCTGTGTAGCTATATCTCACCAGACTTAGGGACTTAGCAACGCCAACGGTTATCCAAGTTTCTATCCTGTAGATAGAACCACTTTAGCTAGCAGGTGATGTTAAGACAGCACTGTCAGTTGAAACCGTAGCGGTAGTCCTAAACTGGGGCTATATGCTGAAGTGCTGTTCGATGATGAATTCATTTCGGTAAATGTTCACGAAGCCAACACTATATTTAGATCGTGTATGCCTTATTTGACCTAGTATTGATCATTATCGCTCCCGCGGTCCGGACCGGGACCAATTACGCATGTGCATAGCAGGCGAATTAACCAGTTATCAGTCTGTCTGGTCTTCTGTGTTATGATTGGCTAACGCCAATGTTGGACCCGGCCAGCCCTCTATCGGCCATTTCCAGGCGAGAGAAGAAGAGCGATAGCGTAGCAATCCAGGTACAGATCAGGGCGACAGAAGCAAGGATGTCTGTGGAGATGCAGGAGTCTATACAGAGGACATACGCAAAGGCAAAGGAGTTAAGACCCAAGAATACAACCCGTTCCTACGACAAGCGTCAGCAGGAGTTTCTCGAGTGGTGCGCAAACAAGGGTTACTCATTTAACGACTTGACTCGCTTCACTGTGACGGGTGAAAAACTACATCTCTTCCTGGAAGAATGCGTCATTGGTAGACGTAAGCGCCCGAAATGCGCTACGAAGCAAGCGTATAGTGTGGAGACGATTGGCCGCGCATCTGTTAATCTTTACGTTGCAGCTATGGTTGATCTGTGGAAACAACAAGTCCAGGCCGGAATCAATAGCTATCCTTCACCAAGTAACGCTGCAGTGACATCGCTGCTAAAACTGACCCAGTTTGAAGAAGACGAGCGCAAACGAAAGAAGTTTGAGGACCGAAGAGCTGATACATTACTAGATGGATATACGACAACAGAACAAATCCAGCAAATTGCTAGGTATTTTTGGGCGATGTCACGTGAGGCAAGAACGAACTTACGGAACCTGTTGGCGTTTCTCGTGAGCCACTATGCTCTAATGAGAGGTAAGTCCGCCCGGTGCTAGAATTGGCTGATTTACATTCAATTATGTTGGAGAACGAGGGCTATAGTCCGTGTCGAGCCATAGTTATGGTGATGCGTCAAGGTAAAACAAATCAAGTGGGTCGCATTGATGTTGGTGCTTGTATGCGTAACAAGAATGTGGAGATCTGTCCCCACGGGCTGTTGGGTTTGTATTTGTTTTGGCGTTGGCATGTGGATGGAGAGGCGTTTCCTGACTTCACCTCCTCGGATCGCTGGTACCCATTGAAGCTCCTCAAAACGGGAAAAGATCCTAAGAAAACGATGTCGTACAAAGTACACAGAGAGGCTATTACGGCTGCACTGAATCATGTATGAGTCCGCAGTAAGACTAAACCCATGTTGGGCGTGGGTCTGGATCTCGTATGGCAGATCTAGGTGATGCAAGCGAATCTCAAATTAGACGTTTAGGTCGTTGAAATACTCAAGCCATGGAGAAATGCTATCTCACGTCTCTTCCACGCGAAGCTATGCGCACGCGTGCCGGCTTTGAGCCTTCTCGAGGGAATTTTTTGTTGCACGCGCGTCTGTGGAACCTCCTAGCGTTCTACAGAGTATGACCTTTCCTCAGGTTGAGAAGTGGCAACATGCAATTAACGACGATAAAGCTGAACAGTCCATCGCCGCTGGAGGTTTTCTAGATCTACTTCAATATCTTCGCAAGGTTATTCTACAGGATGCCGTCTTCTTACAAAATTTAACTCCACATCATCCAGTGTTGTAGCACGATTATTTTTCCTCGGACGAATTCATGAAATTCAAAGGTGAAACTCGAAAAACTATATCTACGATGGAAAACCCGGCTGATCAGAGGTTGCAAAAGGCGATGCCCATTTTGAAGGCCAAGCTGGAAGGTGCACATCAAGATCTGAAAACATCTATTGATCGCGTAAGTTCAACAGTCGACGCAATAGAAGGGAACATCGCCGACATATTGCGCACGCTCGAACCGCTTCGAGGAGGAACCGTATACTTCAGGTCAAGCTGGTTTCGAATCCAGCTAACAGTGTCGCAGCATTTCCTAGTTGCAGCTCGACTGTCACATCTGAGGCTCGTAGTGGTCAACCCTCAACGTCACATTAAAAATGCGTAGAGCTTTGGAATCTGTCAAAGAGCTATAGGAAGAATGGAGTGATGGTTTTGACGGGAGTATACCCGTAAGAGAGCTGGAAGAGCGCTACGGTACGAAGTGGTGCGACGCTGATGAAAGACGGTTTTTCAATTGCCGTAGATCTGTTCTTAACTTTGTTCAGCAATGCTCTCGTGAAGCCCAGCGCGATACCGGCGTTGGGGCGGACGTAGCAACTCAGTTGGCTGTACACTACGTGGATGACACCCGTAAAAGCGAAGAAAGACGCTCAACTGGCTTATCAAGAACATTGCTCTAATTCATGATGAAGTGAAGAGCCGCCCAATTTCACGGATTTCGCTGGATCAATGTGCTAACCAACGGTGGGTCAGTCACCGTGGACAACCTCTGTAATCGCCAGAATCCCTTTGATTATGTGGTATCGTAAAGTGACCGTTACTGCGCAGTACCGCAGTGTGTCAGAGCGGTATTAGGTGGTACCATGGTGTGGCTTTGCGGTATTGGGCCGTACCGCGGTGTGCCTCTGCGGTACTGCAGTGCGACTGTGCGATACCGCGGCGTCACTTTGCGGTATTGGGCGGTACCGCAGTATGCCTCTGCGGTACAGCGGTGTGACTGTGTGGTACCGTAGTGCGACTTTGAAAAATCTTCAGCGACTTGTTATTTGTTTACACAACAAGTAAGAAGCTGAATAATGTCACGTGTTTTTGTTGTCCTATTATATGCACTTTGCGTATCTCCGACGCTGGTAACTACTGAGGTGAGCTTCGAATTCAGGTGTCGTTAGATCGGTAATTTTTCCCTTGTATAAGGTCCACTTTTAATGACACTTCCTGCGAAGTGTGAAAAGGAGTATGCTATATTTTCCCTAGTACTATACTGTCTTACATAACCGTCGATCTATCACAAGGATAGCTGCAGTACTCATTGCAGTTATTTTGACGCTGCTGCTTCGTTGAAAAAAACATTTTCCCACATCCAAGGGTTTCGCCCCGCTCCATGTTACTGCCCTTAGATCTGAGTACCTCTAGCGGATCTGGCTTTCGTGGCCTATACCGTTCGAATACCATGTTGACTCATATACTGGATACTACTACATTTGGCACTCATAATGAAATGCATCTTACACCTGTGTTACTTGGGATCTTCTTGCGCGATGTCTTTTGCGGGTTTGAGCTCGCATAGTTATGGCAAGCAAAAGATGAAGAATTTCGAGACTGATTTATTACGAGGAATTGACTTCACTTGGCTCCGTCGCCAAAACAATACTTGGGAGGCATTTGCAGGACATTTGCGGGTTTTCTGGTATGAAGAAGTCCATGTCCTATCGTAAGAAAGGTATTGCCTACACTGTTGGACCTCTAGCCGCATTATTATAGCTTCCATTTTCTAGGTGCTATGTAAACGCATTGAATATAACGAACGCGGTGCGTCCAACGCTTCCTAGTGTGTTTTAATGTCTGTCAAACTTGGCCACGTGACCAAAGTGACGTGACCAAAACCTTTTCTGACCTGTAATAACGGACAACATAGAGCTATAAAAAAGGTTTCTGAAATCGTTACCTGTTGTTAATGCCTAGTGATAACTTCGGTATTGTCAACGGCGCTATATATCGTTGGGCAACTCTTTATCCGGGTCCGCCCAGCAGGGCTGAATGTCCGATAGCACGTAAAGCAAATCGTTGCCAGTGAGAACCTCATGCGGCTGCGGGTTCACGTACACGTAACCAAATGGCACACTCCGTTCATCCTCGGAAACTTCGATACGGGCTCTTGTGGCAGTCTTCGTCCACTGACCTCCGCTGAGCACGTGCACAGCAGACGAATGTAGCATCACATCAGGACGGCAGCGATACAGTCCAATGACGAGGATACCATCCGACGACAGCAAGTAATGAAACACAAATTCGAACGTGCGACCCACGAAGTCCAGCGGCACCTCCACAGCGAACAGAGAGCTGCGTTGAATGTCCATAGCTGATGTCGTTGATAATGTTGGGGAAGCGGCAGCCTCTCCGAAGCCAGCGGGAGAACTAGGCAGTGTTCCCACTCCACCCTCCGTCCACGAGGCGAAGATAAACTCCCGTAAAATATTCTTGATACGAGCATTGAAGAACTGGTTAATAAGCAAGCTATCGCAAAGCGACGTGCTGTACGTGAGTCCAGCCGCAAAAGCAGGAGAAACAGCAAAGTTGCGAGCCAATTCAAGCGAAGAAGTTGATGCAGCTGCAGAATCACACTCAGAAAGTGGGAACCAGCCACTAGCGGTGAGGTTTTGTGCCACGAAGTGCACATTCGCGCGGTTTACAAGCTCCGTAATGATACGTGGTGCTCGCGTGGGACCTATAAGAGTCACGATTGTCTTGTGTAGTGCGATACAAGCCTGCCATAATGAATAGAATAACGATAGAGTTAGAGTCCGTAATGGTTACAGTGTTAAGATACCTACGGCATCTTGGAGCAGTTCTGAAGTGCCAGCATCAGAGACTTCGCCTTCAGCGCCCATAAGGACAATACGGAATGCGTCATGAACTCCAGCTCGTCTTAGAGTGCTATGACGGAATGGATCTCCCACTACGAAGTAAACGCCGACGAAGCGCTGAAAATGTTCGTAGTCTTCCACTTCAGGCAGAGTTGCAGTCACGATTACTACTGGACGATGTTGTCTTAGTGCACGCACTCGCAGTGGGCCAATCAGGTACTCGAGATGATGAGGGAACGACGAAGGCGACAGCACACAGACCACAATGTGGCCAATCTCCAAATTCAAAGATGCCACGTCCTGGACAACCGCTGCTTCTGGACGGCACGTATCAAGCTCTGGTGCATTTGTCTCGACAGTGAGAGGATCGTCTTCTTCTTCCTCCTCCAGTTTCTGGCTAAATGCTGACGTTGGACTTGATACTTCTGTTTGCCAGTTTAATAGCCGAGATTGTCGTCGGCGTGGTGAAACATCGTCATCTCCTAAGCTACTGGGCGTGTCATTTCCAGTACTGCTCCCAGGCGTTGAAACCAACTTGACTTTGGCACTTGCCCCACGTGAATAATGCCTCTTAGAGTTTCGACGCTGAGACGTCCAGGCTTCCGGCATGGTGTCACTCGGCTGCATTTGAGTAACGGCGTTGGCTTGACGTCGATCTTGAGCAATGACAAACACTGTCTCTGCGCCAATACACGTGTACGAATCTCCAGGGTTCAACAGCAACCTGCCTCCGCTCACTTTTGGCGACTGAGCTGTGGTGATTGCAAACACGATCACTCCAGAGCATTGAGCGTACGCTAGTGAAGCCACTTCCGAGAAAGTTTTACCGTACACCACACAGGCTGAAGGTAGTTCCACCGAATAAACCTCGTGACTCGAGCCGTGTAAATAGCGATCTTCCCATGATGCATCCGCTTCCGGTGGATCGTCATAGTCGCCACTGGTATCGTAACTTGAGGTCGACGTAAGACTGTACATGAACGTCGAGAAACCCGGACACACGCAGTTCTGACCAAGTAACGAGTGCATCACCTCGGAGAAGCAGAGCACATTCGACACATTCAAGTCGGCTACAAGTCCCCGGTTAGCTGACAAGTGGAGCTGTGCAAACAATCGAGCATTGGGGGCTTCACGTCGAGCAGCCAGAACGCGCATCAATGCCCTGTGGTCACTACTAGCAGGTGACTCCCCTGCAACAAGCCGTGTTAGGATAAAGATGGCGTCGGCTGAAGCACAAGCTGCTCGCTGCGCATCGTCCACATCCAGTAATGAACCTTGTATAAAACTCGCCCGCTTCTCGAAAAAAGGGTCCATTAGCAGAGCGATAAGCGACGTGGCTGGTTCCTCCTCACTCAATACAACAACGTTGATATCAACCAGATCGTGATCGTCGTGGAAGACTTCTCGAAAGAAATGGTCGATACGCGACGGAGTTAGATCTCCACAAAGTATGATATGCTTGATAGTCGGTGACGGCGTGTGGCTGGCGAGCTCGTACGGGGAGAAGGAGCTACCGAGCGCCAAGATTTGAGACACTTGGTACGGGACAACCAAGATGAGGACCAACACCAGCGCTCCTACACATACTTTAGCCAACGGATTATCGGCAGGAGGAGATTGGATCGTCACAAATGCGAGCACAGAGTTGAAAAACGAGTTGAAGAACGTCCACTCCCCTAGATTCCCGCTCGCGTACTTGTCGTCGGCAGTCTCCGCGATCTGAATGACTCCAGCTGCAACAGCAATGATGATCGTTAACTGGAGGTAGCAGAGCATTGCGAACTGCTGAACAGGAGACATGAGTCCATGACAGCGACTTAACACAGCTTTGGCTTCAACGTAGCATATGAGAAACCGGAGAGGATACACGAACCGCCAGTCCGAGATACCGTACCAAAGAGAGCTGCACATAACAATACAAGTTAGGACAACAGCTACGTGTTAACCATCGCGAGTATAGTCACTCAACTGGTATTGTAGGAAGAACGAAGTCGGTAACACTGGTAATACGACAGCAAGTGTTACAAGCCCAGGGAAGGAGAGCATGTATTCTCGACGACGACTGGAGAGATAAACGCCTCGAAACAGGAAATCCACAGCCAAGAGACTTGCGCAGACGATGTCCGTTATCCAGAGGCTGAAGGGCATCTAGGATTCCAGAAAGCATGTAAGGAATCTAGTATTATACCTGTAGCAAATATGTTATGAGCTTACCTCATTGGAATTTACGTAGGTATTCGCAATGTACGAGCTTGCAAACACGATTGAGACCAGAACGAGAAAAATGTCCAGCCCCACTCCGAACGAACTGTGATCCAGGTATCTACACAAAGAAGCATTTAGCAAATTGAATAGGTCCAAAGTCGAGTTAGTAGAGGTCTTACGTACCGGCTGAGACGATCACGACTACGTGAGCCATGACTGTCGCTGAGAATCTTGGCGGACGAAGAAAAATCGCCGCTTTCCGCTTCTGCATGTTGTATCATTCTCGTGTTAGTTACTAGTATTATTAATACGACAAGTTACATTTCGCTCTTACCAAAATTCACAGCATGCAGGTTGTGATGTTGCGGGCTCGTAAGTTGCAGCGTGCGCTTCACTGGCAAAACAGAACCATAATTGGCGCTTTTCTCACGACGAAGAGACCGGCGCTCGGACATTGCTGCCCCCAAGACGGAATTTCTTGCACTGCCAATGAAGAGGTGCTTGGGGTGTATGGCAGTTAGCAGCTAAGCGTCGCCGATCTTTTGTGTCCATTCGATTCAAATAACGTCATGGCAGGGTGATTCTCTATTTCCTGGCATACAAATATGAAACAAAAAACTCGCTCTAGATTTGTCTTCAGACAAACCACTGACCTCCTTTAAGTCTCTGAGGTGACGACGCACTCTGCTGGCTGGAATACTGATCGTGGTCAGTGTCGCCATTGCAACCGGTCTGCACAATAGTTCCAGATAATAAGTTAGTTCACTTGGTAAGTACCTTTATGGTAGTCAAGATTCAGTACCCACTCATGATTCAGTGGCATCTGCACGTACAGTTCCTGAAGAACTCTGGGAAGAATTAATACCCTGCGAGGCTCTTTCTGTAGCTCCCATCGTAGAACCCTGTGAGTATTCCAAACACGCCTTGCTCGCCTCTGCAGCGATAACAATCGCCAGCTCTTGCAGTTCACTCTTGGACTCTTCAATGCTCAACTGAAGAGCCCGTAGGTCTGTTCGCCTCACACCTCGATTGCATGGCTGCGATATCCCATCCGTAGGTTCATTGGCACAAAAATTCCTCCTCGCTCGTTGGTATCGACGCACAGCAGCAACAAAGAGAAGCAGATACCGCTCGATATCACGCACAAGCACTAGAGTTCCTGAGCCAGTGGAGATGAATCCAGGGATTCCAATGCGACCGACTGGGTCGATTCGGTCAGGAATGGTCAATCGCTCTGCCTTTGCAATGATCGCCTCAATCATCGACGATAAATCGTCATGAGACGCACGTATACTGTGCTTAAGGCCCTCGATCTCTTGTAGAATCTCCGCTGCGTCTTGTACGTGAGGCCCAACGCCTTTCGATGGTCGACCAGAACTCTTGTGGCCCTCGTTTGAAGCCTCCACAGCTCGATGTCGTCGATCCACTGCTGCTACCGACCGCAGTAAATGCACGTCCATGTCTTGCAACAACTGCGCTCGCCAGCCTCGCGCCTTCCACGACGACTCGTACTCACTAAATTCTGTCTGCTGACCGATACCGCTATAGCTTGCCTGCTCCAACTTGATCCTCGGATCTACCCGAATATTGTCCTGTTCATCAGCCGTACTACCGTCAACACTACTGCTCTTCTTGGACTTCTGTAGACGTTTGGGAGGCGGTGTCTTCTCCACCGACTTACTCCTCGCTGTCGAAAGTTTCTTCCGTCGTTTCCACTTGCGCTGTTCTCCTGTAGTCTCAGCTGATGAATGGTCCGATAAGGAGTCGCTCTCCTCAGTAGAACTCTCTACACTGTTGTTCTCGTCTACCTCCTCTTCTACCGTGGACGGTTGTGTGGGTTCAATGTCGGACACGTCTGAGTCGTCCGGCAGCAAGTATCGTAATCCGCCTGGTAGAACAGTTATCAATAGTCAGCAACTATTGATTTGTTGTGCAATCCAATAAGGAGAGTGTGCTCTACCTTGTTTCAATATGTAGGCGTAGAGTTCTCCTTCGCCCACGAAAAAATCCACATTCTGTTTGGCTTGGTCTCCTTTTGCCTTGCTTCCTGGTAGATAGTAGAGTTTTTGCTGCTGCAGACCGTGAGGTTCCACGATATCCCAGTCCCAGTCTTTGATGATTTTGATGATTTCTTTGCCTTTGATGCCGATTTTTTCGAGTAATTCGCGCGGTGGGCGCATTTCTAAAGACATAGCAATGCCTCCTTGACTGCTCCTTCGCGTGGAGAGCAGAGGGCGCTTGGCTGCTGGCATCGGTTCCACCATTGTCGAACACAGGTTGGTGGCGGGAAATATATAAAGTCAACAGGTTAGAAACCTTTTTAGAAATGGCTATCATGTCACTATCTCATGGAGTGACCACGTACTTAAGCCATGCGAACTTAGTATTGGCTCAACCCATTTTGAGTCCATCAACAATGCTGCGTCTCGGCTCGCGTATTCCGGTGCTCGGTTCGCGTCTAGCACCGGCGACAACGACCGTGTGTTCGCCGTATCTGTCTTGCGTGCGTTTTAAGCGCTCGGCTGCAAAATCTGGACGCGTGAGCGCTGCTAGTGGCTCCGGTACGGCGACTACGAGGCGAATATGTCAATAGTAATTAATCAGAGTTGACGCTGCGCAGACCGCAGTGCGGCGTTGACAATGGCCATCCGCCAGATCGAGAGCAGCTTCGGCAAGGGCGCTGTCATGCAGCTGGGCTCAACGTACGCCACCTTGTCACACAGCTATTGGCATTGAGACAAGAGCTGATCAAATGTATATTTTCGTGATGTAGGAAGACTGCGGAGCGCGTGGACGTCATTTCGTCCGGCTCGTTGTCGCTCGACTTGGCTCTGGGCACCGGTGGCATCCCCAGAGGGTACGTACCATAAAGCGGAAGGACTTAGAGTTGGACTGCAACTTTTGACATTTTTATTGCTAGACGTGTGGTGGAGATCTACGGCCCTGAGAGCTCTGGCAAGACGACACTAGCGTTGAGCTGCATCGCTGAGGCTCAGAAGACCGAGGGTGGAGTGTGTGCCTTTATTGATGCAGAGCACGCTATCGACGCCCACTACGCCAAGGCTCTGGGAGTGGATATTGACGCCCTCTACGTCTCGCAGCCAGACTCTGGAGAAGAAGCTCTGGAGATCGCAGACACGCTCATCCGATCGGGTGCTGTAGACCTTGTGGTGCTGGATAGTGTGGCAGCTCTGGTGCCTCGTGCCGAGCTGGAGGGTGAAATGGGAGACCAGCAGATTGCTCTACAAGCGCGTCTTATGAGCCAGGCACTGAGAAAGCTGACCGGGTCACTGTCCAAGTCCAATTGCACCATTATCTTCCTCAACCAGATCCGTCAGAAAGTAGGTATCATCTTTGGATCCCCCGAGGTGACGTCAGGTGGTACGGCATTGCGCTACTACGCGTCGGTGCGGCTGGATATCCGCCGTAAGACAGCCATCAAGGAAGGCGACCAGGTTGTCGGCAACGAGACGGTGGTCAAGGTGGCCAAGAACAAGTTGGCTTCTCCCTTCAAGGTGGCGACTTTCGACATGATGTTCGGTCGGGGCATTGATCGACAGTCAGAGTTGGTAAGGAAGTACTGGTAGATTTGTTTAGCTATGGCGATAACTTACTAATGTTTTGTGTCGTGTAGCTTGAATTGGGTGTGCAGCACGGTCTGTTGAAGCGCTCGGGCGCGTGGTACAGTCTGGCTGGAAGCGACGGTAAGTATCAAGCTACACTTAATGTCAGGTTTAATACTAACATATCGTGTTACAGAACCTATTGCGCAGGGCAAGGCGAAGGCGAAGGTTTTCTTACAGGAGAACCCTGGAATCGCGAAGGACCTCGAAGCAAAACTGCGTCAAATGCTCTTCGAACCGGCGGCTGAAGAGAAAGTCGATGAAGCTAGTGTGGAAACGGAAACTGAAGTTGACCATGAGGACGATGCCACATCATCCGAAGCAGTTGATGCAGTTGACAACAAAGTTAGTGAAGAAGACGAGAAAGTCACCGGATGAACACCGAAAACACGCTACGTTGTGAACGTTGGTGAACAGGTTCCCACAAGATTTTTCTTTTTTTTTTTCTGCAATGTTGAAACTCGTGAAGTGCTCGCTTGTATTCTGCCTTTGATAAGTTGTAGTTTCCTCGTTGTCTGAAGGTTTGGACGAGCACGTAGTCGCTCCCTGGATACTTAGTATGCCAGCAGCGGAGGTAGTTCACTCACCTAGAGACCGAGCTCTAAATATGTAGCCCACAAATACAGACTAGACCAACTAAAATGCCATACTGAACGACGTTGGCGGGAGTACATTTGCCACCTGGCACCGCTCAGCCTTCGAGTAGCGCTTCTTGATCACCGCCAGGTTGTTCGACGGCGAGTTAGAGTACAGCGTTTGAAGCTCTCCCATACACTCCTTCAGGTCCGACCAGTTGTACTGGCACGCATCCACCAGTTCCTTCGTCTAAGGCAAACGGTAAACACACCTCGTTAGCATAGACTTAAAAGCACAATCGTGTCAAAACCACGGCAAAGCTTACCATTGGGAACCCGTCCATCGTGTACATCGCCATCGACAGGCAGCACGCAGCCACAACTGACGGCAAATACTTCAAAAACTGGTACTCTTGCAGCGCCAGCTCGAGCAAGTAATGTGCCAACATGGACGTCTTCTTCTGGATAGGAGGGATCATACGTTCGTAGATATTCAGGAAATCCAGCGCTGGAGAAAACATCAAAACCTGTGAGATTCAATACATCGCATGTAAAAGGGAGTTGCAAGACGTACCAGTGGGCACCGAAAGCGTAAAGTTGAGGGTGTTCAACAGTTTTTCTTCCATCTCCAACACCTCCACGGACGTGTACACGTTGTCAGCGCACATCGCGAGATCCTCCACTCCGATGTAGGAAACATCTTCACACTTGGACGCGACGTGCAGACATGTCGCTCCAAGTAGTTGGAATTGCGTCTTTTTTACCATGACGATATCCAGGTAGCGATCGGTGTAATTCACTGCCAAGAAGGCGGTTCGCAGGCACATCTCGAACACGTCCACGACTAGGAAAGCACAAAAAAAAATTATTCATACGCTGAACAACAATGAGCATAGACCAGCGGCACTTACCTTCAATTAGCCAGTCGACAAGCATTGATCGGTGGGCGGGTCGGAGCGTTTTCTGTCGGCTGCAAGAAATACAGGTACTGACTGTAAGCAAGCAGCACTAAACCCCACTATTAATGCGTTGCCCACGCACCTCAAGTACTTGATCTCTTTCCATGAGTCTAGCTCTGTCTGGCGCAGATAAGCATGGAAGAGTTCCACATGCTCAGGCGTAGGTCCGATCCGTGCGCGGCTCATCGTGTAGCACATTTGGTCCATGGGAATCTTTGGTGTCAATGGTAAGAACGAGGGCGCTTCACTGGAGAAATACGGGTGGCGAAGCGCGTCTTCTGCTGTAATTCGCTGGTCGGGGTTGTATACGAGCAGTTTTGTCAGCAGGTCGATGCCAAGATCTGAGATCCCCGGGAACAGGCGATTCAACGGTCGACGCTTCCAGTGCGGGAACTCGAAGTGATAGTTCGGCAAAGACGAGAAGCCCGGCCACGTTTCGGATGTGGGCGTCGATAACTTGCTGAAGATCTGGAATAGCTGATCAATCTCTGAAATGCCTGTGAAGAGGGGCTTGCCTTGGGCCATCTCAGCGAAGATGCAGCCTACAGACCAGATATCCACTGCTGAGGAGTAGCCGCGCACTCCCATCAAGATTTCCGGCGGACGGTACCACAGCGTCACTACCTCCATTGTGTAAGTTCGGCGAGGGATTCCTGTTGCTCGCACTAGCGCAAAGTCGGAGATCTGCAGCGTCGCATCACCTACGAGACACAACGTTAGTGGTTAGCTACGTCTATCATACAGTCTCGATCGCACCAACGTACTGAGGTTCTCTGTGTCTGACGTCTTGATAAGCAAATGCTTCGGCTTAAGGTTGCGGTGCAACACGCCACGGCGATGGCAGTATGCGATGGCATCCAGAAGTTGGTGAAGAAGCTTACGAATCTGAAGAAATCAACGAGACAGTTTACAGAATGTAGCGAGAATAATGCATCCTGTGTTGCACTTACCACAGCTTCCGGCAATACACGACCTCCATTGGGATCGCCCGATGGATTAATAATTTCATGTAGGGTTTTGTCCACATACGGGAAAAATACGTGGAGCTCGTCTTTGGCGAGGCTAATGAGTTCGAGAGACGCAATGTGGTCGTGCTTGATCCCCTTCAGAACAGCCAACTCTCGAAGCATGTAGTAAGGCACTCCTTCTCCCTATTTACACACATTGTAGCACAACCGTTAGTACACGATAAACACGCACGCGAGTTGCTGAATGCCTCATACCTTGGGGAATACTCTGGCCTTCTTCATAGCCAAGATCTTGCCAGTCGAGCGCTGGCAGCACTTGATGCAGGTGCCCTCGGTCCCCTTGTTCTTGATACCCAAGTTCTTGAAATTAATCCAGTTCACGGAGCCTTCCGGAGTCACACTCGGAAGTGATCGGTACAACGAACGTCGACTGGTCAGCTCTTTCCACTTCTTCGACACTTGCGCCATGTTCTCCAGATCCTTCGCCGTCACTAAGAAGGAGAACACGTGTAAAATGATGTCGATAGGCTGCAGGTCGAAGTGCTCGGAGGGAGTCAGCACAGCTTCCACCTCCTCCATTTTCACTTCAAGAGGAGCATTTCCTTCCCAGTCTTCGTCGTCATTGGCTGCAGGAGACGCAATCAATATCTCTCGACGCACCACTTTACTAGCACGATGCTCCACTGCACGTTCGGACGGATCGATCGAGAATCCCTCCTCGCCTGCTTCCTGGCTGTGAATGTGTTCCCTAGCATAAGCCACAAAGTCCGTCGTCTTGTCTTCATCACTCTCATCCTCCCGTTTCCTCTTACCAACTAGTAATACACCGATTTATCAGTACACTCCACCAAGCTAGAAGCAATAACCAATACATATCCTTACCAAACGGAGCTGCGTCAACTCTGTACTTGGTCTCTACTCCAGCACTCTCCGTCTTGACAGTGTGAGGCTTGTGCTCCTGCTTGAGGTCCATGACGTTGACCTTTTCCTCTTTCACTAATATATCCCTCTTCTCCTCCTTCATTCGTGTCTCCTCCACCTTTTCCTCTTTCACGCTGTCCATGGACGTTACCGCGCTGCACTGGGACAGATCCAGTGGCTCTGGCTCTGGAAATCCGTTGGCCACGGCTACTTGAGAGCGTGGAGTGCCTCCCAATGCGGCCAGAATAGGATTCTCAGCCCCTGGAGTACACAGTAGCAGCGGCAGGCCGCTCCGTTTCCTCTGAGGCTCGGTCCTCGCTGGTACGGCGACTCCGAGCCCTTGGTTCGAGGCTCCAGTCGTCGCTCTGCGCTTTTTGGAGGGTGTCGTATCCGAAGAAGACGACGTGCGACTAGCTGAAGACTGGGTGTCCATCCACAAGCGCTCTGCAATAGGAAATGATTAAAAATGCAATAAATAATTGTAAAATGTAGGATTTCTCGACGGTAGAGGCAGCAGCGACTGTGAATAGGTGTTGTACCTGGCTGGTACAAGGGTGACTTGGCGCTGGGGCTCGAGAGCAGCGAGGAGCTAGCGCCTGGAGCTCCTTATAGACAGCGGTGAACGGGCCAAGGCCGGCGAGATCTCGGGCTCCGGGTCCCTTTTAGCTTTTGTATGGGCGGTTCACCATTCCGCGCGCATTTTTCTTCTTTCGGGGGTAGCAGAGACCATCACTCGGGAAGCTTTTCTGTGAGCTGATTGGACAAGTTTGGTGATACTTTGATCTGATTGGCGGGAAGGAGGAAGTGTCGTCGGATTGTGCGGATTTTGGAAGAAGGTGGCGAAAAAGTGGAGATGGCTACCAGGCAAATGTAACAGTTCGATGTCTCGTTGTGGTACATGTAGCAACCTGGCTATCTGACAGGCGTCTCCCGGGTGACAGATTGTTCTCACCATTGATAAAAATGCACAAGTGTTGCTAAGAGCTATTGGCTTGCCTGTCAACTCCGCATAAATCACCGCAGGATGATACAAGTCGCTCCTCGGTGAAGCACGGCATATCGCTTCATCGATGAAACTGCTGGCGAAACTGCTCGCGATATTTCTCCAACTCCTTTGAAAACACAGAATTCGCAACTCTTGTGCAGTTTGATTTGGTGAAAGTTTGAACGGGATACACTTGAGTAATTATCCAGTCGCTCGTCAGAATTCTGCTACAATTTCTCTCAAGATAAGGAGTAAACGTCAAGCTAGTGAACTGACTGCACGCCGCACAGTATCAAACTGTGGATGAGTTATGCTGAATCACCAGGCAGTTAAATGCCATACGGAACAACTTCGGAGGAGGAACTTTTGCCACCTCACACCGTTCAACCTTTGAATAGCGCTTCCTGATCACCGTAAGATTATCGGATGATCCGTTTGAGAACAGCGCCTGGAGCTCCTCCATGCAACCTTCCAAGTCCGACCACTTATGCTGGCACACACTCGACAGCTCCTTCGTCTAAAGAGCACACAGTATTGCAGCGTTAGTCTACATTAAGCAAGAAAGTGTCCACAGATTAAATGTAAACGCACCATCACGAGGCCGTCCATCGTATACATCGCCATCGACAAGCAGCACGCAGCTACAACCGACGGCAAATAGCTCATGAACTGGTATTCTTGTAGCGTCAACTCTAGCAAGTAGTGCGCTAACATGGCCGTCTTCGTCGGAATTGCCGGGATCATGCGCTCGTAAATGTTCAGGAAATCCAGCGCTGCCAGTAATAAACGGAGCGACGGTTAAACATGTCGAAAGTGGGTCGTTCAAAAAAAAATGTACCTGTAGGCGCCACGAGTGTAAATTTGAGAGCGTTCAACACTTTTACTTCCATCACCCGCACTTCCGTGGCAGTAAAGCCGTAGCTAGCGCATTTCACGAGATCGTTCACGCCAATGTAAGTCAAATCTTCCATCTTTGACGCAACATGCAAACAGGTCGCCCCGAGCAATTGGAGTTGCGTTTTCTTCACTGTTGCAAGTTCCAGGTAACGGTCTGTGTAGTTGACAGCCAGAAAAGCTGTTCTGGGGGAGAGTTCGAATACATCCACCACTAAAAAAAAATAAAAAAAAAGGAGAACATTTTAATGTACGGTCTAAATCGTTTCAAACGGGCAGCTTACCTTCGATAATCCAGTCGACAAGCATGGATCGATGTGTGGACGTCACTGTTTCCTGTCGGCTAGAACAAGAAAAAACATATCTTAGCATTAGCAAAATTTCCATGAGAACCAACTTGGCCGCAGTGTACATACCTCACAAGCTCGATCTTCGCCCAGGTTTCCGACTCTGATTGACGCAAGTACGAGTGGAAAAGTTCCACGTGCTGTGGAGTAGAGCTCCACATTTGAGTCATCGTATGCCACATCTGGCCCATGAAATTAGTGAGCGTCAGTGGGAAGAACGCTGGCGCCTCGTTGAAAAAATAGGGGTGGCAAAGCGCTTTTTCAGCCGAAATCCGCTCGTCTGGATTGTACGAAAGCAGTTTTGATAGCAAGTCAAGGCCACGACCTGATACTTCTGGGAACAGCTGAGCCATGGGTCTCCGCTCCCAATGTGGGAATTCAAACTGGTAGTTTGGCAAGGAAGAGAAGCCTGGCCACGTTTCTGAATTGGGTGTCGACAGCTTGCTGAAGATCTGGAACAACTGATCCATCTCTGAAATGCCGGTAAATAGAGCCTTGCCTTTGATCATTTCGGCAAATATGCAGCCGACAGACCACATGTCCACTGCCGAAGAATACTCGACCACGCCCATCAATATCTCTGGGGCACGATACCACAACGTCACTACCTCGTTGGTGTACGCTCGGCCAGGAATTCCTGTTGCTCGGACTAGCGCAAAGTCCGAAATCTGTAGCGTTGCATCGGCTGAGAAGCAAATGTTAGTATAGATAACAGCTACACATGGATGATACCTAACAACTTACTGAGAGTATTCGGGTCTGACGTCTTGATCAGCAAATGTTTTGGTTTTAGATTACGATGCAGAATTCCACGACGGTGACAATACGCAACTGCATCCAGAAGCTGATGAAGAAGATTACGAATCTGTGCGGCAAAACGAGAGTAGTGGCAAATGTAAGTCAGGGATAAGCTTCAATAATGGCTGATCCAGTTCATACGTACCACAGCCTCAGGCAATGCGTGTCCTCTTTCAGGATCTCTTGTTGGGCTTATTACTTCATCCAACGTTCTATCCACGTAAGGGAAGAACAAGTGAAGCTCGTTTTTTACAAGACTGACTAACTCCAGAGACGTAATGTGGTCGTGCTTCATGCTCTTGAGTACTCCAAGTACTCGGATCATATAGTATAGCACTCCTTGTTCCTGCGTAGCAAAATACACAAGATAACAGACACTTCAATACCAACTCCTCCTTTTAGAATAGAAAAAGTACGATAAACCTTACCTCGGGAAAGATTTTGATCTTCTTCATTGCTAGAGTTCTACCTGTGGAGCGTTCAAGGCACTTGAAGCATACACCTTCAGTTCCCTTGCACTTTAAGCCTAATTTCTTGAAATTGATCCAATTGACAGAGCCCTCGGAGGTCACGCTGGGCAACGAGTGATACAATTCCTGTCTGTCCGTCAGCTCTCTCCATCTCTTAGAGACTAGCGCCATGCTTTCCAGCTCTTGGGTTGTAAGTAGGAAAGAGAAGACGTGCAGGATAACCATTTCCACATCCTCTCCTTCTTCCTTCACAACAACCACGAGATCGTCCTCTGTTTCATCCATCCAGATTGATTCTGGAGCTTGTCTTGACGCTGAGCACCCTCGGAGGAGTCTCAAGAGGAGATTGTTGCTCTCCATCGCGCACGTCAAAGCCGAAGAACAGGTTGGTGTCTATCGTAGTGGGGTCCAAAAGTCCAAATGGCTTTTCAACCCACCGTCTTTCAATCCACTCTGGATACTCGTGTATCATCGAGTATCCAAAGGGTTGATATTATTAACAGTGATCTCGCTAGATCCAATATGCATCTAACGAAACGGCCCTGCTTTTCATGCCCATTAAAACGAGTACTAGCCTTTACTATCACGAATTTCCAAAGATGCCAATGCGGAAGTTGCGTTTACGATATCTAACTCCAAAATACTTTGTTACTATAAAAAGATGTTCTTTACTCTAACCGGTCCATGTGAACTCGTATAAGTAGACTCAAACTCGCTGATTAAGTACCCACCAAAACGATTCGGACTTGTTTAAGTTTACTTGACCCAGACTTCTAATTCAGGCTAAATGAACACAAACATGTTTGTAAATTTTGTGACTGGCGGTTTCTTCGCACGATGTGTCGTACATTAAATATACTTTTGTTTTTGTATTTCACTTCGCAAAAGCAAAACATTATAGGGTTACATGAAGACTGAAATATTCTTTTTGCATAGCTATTTTGTGTTCACTCGCAAGAGTGACACCGGTATTTATTAACGCATCTCCTGTGTCCGCTTCCCAGCCGTTGCATCTGCGCGCACATTCGACGAGCCGTGGCATTGTTTTTAAATACGAAAGCAATATAGAAATCTAAAAAGCGATCTTAATGAATTGAGCCGCGCATTGCACAGCCACTTGAGATAATCATTTTTTTAGGAGAGTTTTGAACATTTAGAACACCTTTAGAGCTCGTGTCAAAAAAGTTGTGTAGCGGTTGTCTATTATAGTTGTATTGTGTTCATTGGATGCGTGGAGGCTGACTAACGAGACCTTGAAAAGCTTGCCTCTTACAGCTATTATCAACATGTGCTAAAGCGAAGCTCATTGCTGGACTTGCCTTCGCAAATACCGCGCGGTCCAGCTTCGCTGTGTGGTTTGCTTTGGCTACACGCGCTTCCACCCGCTCACCTTAGTTGACCTTAGTATCATCAAATTAAGATTTAGCGTTTTTAGTATTTATTTTAAAAAAAACTAAAATGTTCTATATTTTGATTGGAAAGAGTCGCTGTCCTCCAGCATCGCCTCTAGTTATTTAATGCGGAAATCCAAGCCGTTCCACTCGATATTTTTTGTTTGTTTTTCAAAAAGAGTACCGATTTGGCACATATGGCCAAAAGCAATACCCGACCAAAATGAATACAGTACTGCACCCCGTTTTCGTTCCCTAGGACATCTGATAAACTTTCGGATATAATGCTATTTTGCCAAATATACTCGGGTATCTACGCTGAAACCTAATGTGTTTGCAAATCCTATAAAATACACCCTTGTGATAACGGGGTACAGTACTGTACCTCTACACTGGTTACCGTATTTAGTCAAGAGTGCAATAGTAGTCTAAGCAAAGCGGATTAAACTAAAATCTGGTGAGTTATCGTCCCTTCTTCAAAGGAGACCCGCGACCCGGTCGAATTTGTCCAGTTTTCTTGGGTCTGGTATCATTGTTTTGTGCAGCAACTGCCTTCAAGTAAGTGATCTGTCGGCAAGATTGAATGTGCTATGTATACCAACTTTAACTTCGATTCGATCGACTTACTCTTTCTTTATACAGTGCATGACTACGGTTAGCGTTGTGCAGGTCACAGCGGTCCACAAATCTGGATCAGACTAAATATGTAGAGGGACTCATTTGGAAAAAAATAAACTGTTAGAGAAGAATGTATATAATGACGGCGTTTGTGATAGGAATCAGCTTTTCTGTGAGCTGATTGGACAAGTTTGGT